ACGATCGCTACGTGTGAATGCATCTCACAATAGAAAATTGTTCTGTCGATTTTTAGCTGGCATTGCAGTACTTCTGTTCGGTCGAAATCGGATAATCGCAACAGTTGCAGGTAAATCTCCTCCTTCCTAGGCTCCACATCCTCCATGTTACATGTCGCGACATCCAGAAGTAAGAGGGTGGTGATGTTCAGGTCCTCGTTTCTGCAGTCATAGTCAATTAGTTCACGTACCAGCACTGGCAGCATCGCGACGACAATGACGATGAAGTACGTGGTTATCCCCTCGTATACACTCATCACGACTGATGAGAGAGCCCCGCTAGTAATTCCCTAGAAGGTAGATTCGGCTATAGCTGGCATCGCCCCCTAAGCTAACTTTAATTTATCTATGTGTACTACGCGCGTTTTATTACAATTGACTCTTAACTTAACGTTACAATTTATTAATACTTCGATCATTTCATACGGGCCTGTGTATGGATTACTTAATTTATTCTTTCTCGGTTTTTTTAGGAGATAGACAGAGTCGCCTATACTAAAACTTCGCGGTTTCACTTTGCGGTCGTAGTAAATTTTCGAACGTTTCTTTGATTGAATCAAATTCTCGCGCGCAATCACTTGCGTATCTTTAAGTTTATTAAAGAGTGTGATGAGATAATTACAATATGTTGCGTTAGTCATTCCGTTCAGTGGCAGGTCGCTTGCCGGAATTTCAGCCGCTTTTCCGAATATGAGCTCGAACGGTATTGCGTCCCTTCATGCACTGGTGTTGTACGAGAAAGTAGTTAATTTCAGATATTCATGCCAATTGTTTTCTCTCGTGAACTGTTTCAGATACCATAAGGTGTAATGCGAGCGTTCGACCGAACCGTTCGACTGCGGTCTATAAGCGATTGTTTTACATTGCTCAATACGAAATTTGCAAGCTAGAACTGCGGAATTCTCGGCTTGGTGCAATCCCAAAAATCAGTAGTTTACGTTCAAAGATCTTTCACCCTTGATGAAGAGGCATCACTGAAACACGAGGACTCCCGCTATAGTTCGCCATTACCTCCAGCAAATAGGAAGAACAAATTTTCTTTTTCCCTTTCTCGTGTTAAATTAATTTTAAAGTTATACGATCATCAATATTCTCTCGCTCTTTTATTTCTCCTCAATCTTTCTCTCTCTTTAACCGCAGACACACTCAGCCTACCTTCTCTACTACATAAAAATACTTCTCCTTTTTCTCCTTTTTCTTATTCAGAATTACTTAAGCGATAAAACGCTTTAGGTAATTTACCTTTTTCTTTATTCAGAAATATTTAAGTGATAAAACGCCTTAAGTAATCCAATTGGTCTCTCCCTAGAACCAAATCATAACTCCTGAAAAATCTGTCTTCCCCTCCCTTCTGTTCGGAATTATCCTTCTCCTTCTACATTCTCCTAATTATCCATCATGGGCACGATGCTAACGAGAGAAAATTTTAATAGATGGTCTGGTGAAATAAACACAGAGCAGGACGCAAGAAGCAGGCCAAGCTCGAAAAACTTAGAAAGGCTAGCATTCCGATTATTACGCGGATACAGACCGGGCAATTCATCTCCCCTCAAGCCCGTCATCAACTTAGAAGGGCTCATTGGCGCCAGAAATATCAAGATTGAGCCTCTCCCGACGTCCCTCTGTGGTAGATCTTACCTCTGACAATCCAATTAACAGTTCCTCTAGTAATACACCTCCGGAGCCTTCCTTGGATTTTGAATTTCCCCTCTTATTCTCCTACCCTCGATAATTTCCAAAATTCAGAACCTTCTGCTCCCTCTCTCTCCTTAGTTCCTCCGGAAGACAGGTCCTACGATGAGATATTCCAGTCACTTGAATATCTCATCGAATCTATAAGAAGTTCCTCTTCCTCTTTTTAATACACATACACACACACTCACACAGAAACCTATTATATTTATCTTTAGCACTGATTTTTGTAAAATCAACATGTACGTTACAGGACGGAGTGGGGTTTCCAGGAATATAGACTATCATCAGTTTATCTCCTTTGTTGATAGAGGAGGAATAGAGTCGGAAAAGCCGATCCCAGTCAATCGGCGTGAGATCTGATTGGAATGGAGGAGACGGGAGCGGATTTAATGGAGGAGGAGGAGGGAAGCGCTCTTCGAGAGAAAGAGGGAGAGGAAATCGGTCCTCGAGAGGATGAGAGGAAGGGAATCGCTCTTCGAGGGGAGAAGTATAATTTAGAATTTTCCTGATAGCCGGGTCAAGTATGGAGAGAGACGTTAAATCTAGGGGCTCCGATCAGTCGTTGACTGGCGATATGACACTTCCAAGAAATCGTCGGTCGGTAGAGGCGGCACGTTTTGCGTAGAACGACCCTGCCTACTTCTCCAGACATAAGGGATTCGTCCCCGAGACTTTTTTGAGCTACGGACGCGCACTATAATCGAAGGATTAAAAATAATTGTATGATTTATATAATGTGTATGTACTTGTGTGCATATGTGTGTGTGTGTGTGTGTGTGCGCGCGCGCGTGTGTGCGTGCGTGCGTGTGTGTGTAAATGTGTTTTGTTGAGGCTTGAATCAGTTATTAAATTCAATTTGCTTTTTGAGAAGAAAAAAAAGGTCTTTATTGATGAACAGACGAGACGAGACTGACTCGCATGGCAACGATGCAAGAGTCTAACTTTCCTTTTTTTTTGTTAGAGTAACATGTCAACCCGAATAACAAAAACGGTCGAGACATGACACGGAGGCACTCGGGCCTTTTCGTTAAACATCGATAGCGCTCTTACATTACTCACACAAACACACTAAGCTGATTCAACACTTCCGCCGCTTGAGTGCTTGTTTACATTCACACGCATCCCTATACTATCTCGCAGACGTCTAAATCTCTCTTTCGGCAGAGCTTTCGTTAATATATCCGCCTTTTGTATTTCAGACGCGATATATTCGACTCGAATTTCGCCTTTTTCAATCATCTCTCGTATATAATGATATCGGACGTCGATGTGTTTTGTCCTCTGATGAAACTCTGGGTTTTTCGCTAGCTTTATAGAGCTCTGGTTATCAACACACAACAATGTGGCACTACTACAACGATGTCCAATATTATCTAACAAACCTCGGAGGGTCGTTGACCTTCTTGTTTCCAAATCTCCAGCGTAATCCGCATCGGAGAAACCAACTAAGTCGTATTCGCTTCCGCCGCTTCGATATTCAATTCCTAAATCTACCGTTTGGATTAGATAGGCGAAAATTCTTTTTACAGCGAGCCAGT